GGGAAGGGAAGGGAAGGGAAGGGAAGCTCATATTATAAAGTTAGTCCTTGACTTATGGCCATAATTGAGACGCAAATTTCTTTTGCTAAGCGAGACAATCGCTCGGTGAGCTTTGCCTCATGGGATGGCCCGTCTTACCACAGCGATTAAGTAAATCACTGCAATCGTTCAAATAGTCACACGGCTGTTAAGTGGTCATAAAGTTCTCCCAGCAAAGTCAACAGGGAAGCCAGAATCAGTTAACGACCACGTGATTCACTTAACAAAAAAAACAAAGGTCGAAAAATTTGTCTGACTCACTTAGCAACCACTTTCCTCAGCATGGAAATTCCGTCCTGAATCTGGGCGTATGTCGAGGACTCCCTGGAGTCCTCCCCAAGATGGGGTCGACATTCAGACACTCAGCAAATCCCCACATATAAAAAATAGAAATGCAGTGCTCATATACGGCTGTGGTCGCCATTTTGATTTTTTTGACCTTTTGCCACTCCTCTACAGTCTCCGAGTCTCACGATCTTTTTCTTCTCTTTGTCACCTTTTTTGAAAAAAAAAACAAAAACCAGGAGCGGCAACGGACAGCCGGACTTCTCAGTCAGAGTTATCTTGGATTAAAAAAAAAAAAAAAACCTTTTTTTCCCCAAGAATATGCAGGGATTGGCGAAAAAGGAAGTGAAAAAATAAAATGCTTCCCCACTGGCCTTCAGAATTCTTGATTGCTGCCAGATGGAAAGCAGGAGGGAAGAAGAGCAGTCCGGCCAAGAGAATCCAAATTTAAAAGTCATTTTTGCAAAGGGTTTTTATGCTGTCCCAGTTTCCATCAACCCAGTTTTGACCCCAAACCTTATTTTTTTCGTGAATACTTTGCCCTCCTTTCTTTTTCTCTGCTTCGGGTGCCCTGACAGGGAAAGAGCCCCCCACGTCACCCCCATCCCATAATCCCGAGGTCAAAAATTAGTCTGGGGAATCCTGGAATTCAGAGGGTCCCCTTGAGGTCAGCTAGCCCAATCCCTCCCCCCACCCATGGGCTGAAAACCTTCACCAAGCCTGCTAGCTAGATAAATGACACGTCAGCCTCTACTTGGCTGCAATGGGGGCTCCCAGAATCCCCCAGCCGGTATGGTTTAAAGAGGGGAGGTCTTCCACCCCCAGAATTCCCCAGCCAAGCTGGCTGAGGAATTCTGGGAGTTGAAGTCCACAAGCCTTAAAGTTGCTAAGATTGGAGACACCTGCTTTCAGAAGGGAGGACTTCTACTCCCAGAATCCCCTGACAGCCATGCTTTAAAGAGGGGAGGACTTCAACTCCCAGAATCCCTCAACCAACAAACTGGCTGGGGGATTATGGGAGTTGAAGTCCCCCTCCCCAGCTTATAGCTGTTCATGTGGAGAAACATGGCTTCGCATTAAAAAAAAAAAATGTCCAGACTATGTTTGTGTTCTAGATGAAATACTCAACCCAACCAAAAGAACAAAAAATATATATGTATATCCATATTTCATTTAATGTATTTGTTTTTCGTTCCGCCTTTATGACAGGTAGGCCTCAACTGACAAACATTTGTCAGTTCACAATTACAATGGCACTGAAAAAAAGTGAGATATGATCATTTTTCATACTTTCAGGGCCTTTGCAGCACCATTGACTCATATTTATGACGGTCGCAGTGTCCTGGGGTCACGGGATCCCCTTTCACGGCCTTCTGACCAGCAAACTCAATGGGGAAGACAGATTCGCTTAATAATCCTGTTCCTAACCTAACAACTGCCGCGATTCACTTAACAACTGCAGCAAGAAACGTTGTAAAATGGGGCAAAGCGTAACCACTAGACCAAACCGTCTTTTGAATTTTTTGGACTCACGCACATACACATACACACGGACACAAATGTTGCTCTCTGCCACGTTTCTACAGTCTGGACCAATGAGGACTAGAAGCATGAACCGAGTTTTTATTTTAGATCTGTCTGTACAGGGCTGTAGGCTAAACTGGTTGATAAACACAGTGGAAAATATTTGAGTTTGACTGATTTGGCTGACAACTCCGGGTTTTTAAGAAACAATAATCATGGAATTTAGAGTTGATAGTTTTTCATTGGGGAAAAAAATGCCGTGTTTTGTTTTCGTGGCAGTTTGCGGCTCATGGTTTACTATTTTTTTTAAAGGCATGCTTTACCATCTCTTCTTAATTAATTTTTATAAACGCCTAATTGCAAACTGCCTC